GATTTCTTTCATTCACTACAGCAGTGAATGAATCTTTATTATGTAGAAAAAAAACTGAGATGTTCTGTTGAAATTGTGCTTCTTTATCAAATATTAAGATAATATTCAATAATCGAATAACCCATTATGCACAGACAGAAAGAGTTTCATTGGTCTGGCCCACTTAAGATCAAATTGTGCTGAATCTGGCTCACAGTGTAAAATGAGTTTGACCTCCTTTCTCTTTCTCAGTCAAATATGTACCGGATTTATTTAAAGTGAAAATTTGACAAAATGTAATTAGAACTAAAACCAGTAATGTCTTTTCTACAACTTTTTTCCATAAGTACAAGACAAAAAAATATATATAGGAGGACATCTGTGGGAAGGTCTGACAAAAAGAGCAAAATATATCTATCTAAACAGAAGTGTATTTTTTACATGCAGTAACATATTTGTTATTACATGTTTTTTTTACATTTTATTTGCATTTTTAACATATCATAAAACTTTTGAAACATAAACACAACTCTATACATTGTTCTTTCTTCTCAAAACTGGTTTCTTTAACCAAAACAACACGCACATACCTTTACATTCCTACAGAACATCAAAAACCAAATTCAGAAATTCAGGAAACTACTATAAAAATTATTTGTGTATCTTTTGGCCATGAAGCTACATATTTAAATCCATGCAAATGTGTAAGAGTAAGTTTATTTTTTCTTGTTCTGGTGAAGTGTAGGGAGTTTTGTCCAAATATAGCATTTACAGTTCTACATATATGTCAACACCAGTGTTACCTGTTTTATGTAGTATATGGCAAAACTCAGTAATTCCACCATGTATTGTTAGTACAGTGAGAAACATTGCCAAGAAAATCAGTGCAGCGATACAAAAAGGCAACAAAAGAAGTATTTATTGGTTACTATAATACAAAATGTCCCGCTGAGCTGACAGCTGCACATATTTCACTGGGAATATTGGCATGGCTGAACCTTCCTCTTCCTCCTCGTCCACGATGGCCTCCGCTGCCTGCTAGTCTTCCTCTTCGTCACTTGAGGCCTCTTTTATACTAGTTGTACAACAGGCAAAAAGATAAAATATGAGATGATGAGATGATCCGTGATGAATTTATAAATGTACTGTTTATTCTGGGATTGTCCTAGAAA